CTTCAGGACTAGACTACATTGACTCACTCCTAGGAGTGGAGTGGTTGGTGAAGCGCGTTGACTACTTTACTTATTTGGGAAGTTTCATCAGCCAGCCCCAAAGAGTTAATCGCTGACAAAATCTCAGCACGAATACGGAAGGTTAGTTCAGCATACGTCAACCAACCTACGCCATCTCTGGCTTAGTAGACGTGATATCCGACTGGCTGTCGATCAAAGGACGTGTGTACTGCTCAGCATTTCTCACTGTCCTCCTTTATTGCTTTGAAAAATAACCATTGAAAGTTGAAGACATGAAAAGCCTGGCTAGCTGTCTTTGATCATAGGTGCCTGCATTCAATCTTGTGTTAGGTGCTATAATGTAGAGAGAAATATTGAAGTAAGGCATCGCTCGAGTGCTAGGCAAGGAGGGGAAATCAGTCAACGGGGTTGTGAAGTTACACCGATTGAGAGAGATTTTTAGGACATGGCTGCCTGCCTAGCCATCACTTTCCTCGATGACGGGAAATGTTAGTTGACATAGAACTAGCACATGGTAGTCAAACCAAAACATGGCTTCATCAGTCAATGAAATCCATAACAGTTAATTTAAGCTAGCTAAGTAGGGAGGTGTAGACTTCTTGACTGGTTGGGGTGTTCGGGATGGTAAAAACCAATGAAGGCTGGAAACAGTTGGTGATATCATTGTCAGTGGCTTGCATAGATGCTTCCACTCCTTGTGATTTATAATATCCAATAAAATTGTATTGTTTTTCCGTCACTCAGACTTGTGTTTATTATCTCTGTCTTTTGAATCTCTCTTTACTTTGTTGTCTTGTTTTGTGTGCTACATGGAGGGAGTGGGGCAAGTTGAACTGCTGCACATCTGTGCAAAGTTTTATGTTGAAACCAGTCAGTTAAGTTAGTCAGTGCTGTTGACTTAAACAACTTCAAAACAGTTCTTTTCCGATAATTGTTATTTACTTTAGAGAAATTTCGGCATTTTAGCATTTCAGTGAATTTCAGTTAAATCGCCTTTAGTTAACCTGTTTAAGTAACAATAAGTTGTGAAGTCATATGGATTCTGCGTGTTATTTATTTAGCTGCTGTTTGAAGTCAAAATTATAAATATTTAGTTTTGTTACAAGAGGACGCTGACTGATTGACTCACTGCCTGATTCACTTTCAACATAGAACTCTGTACATAAGTGCACCAATTCAAGCTGCCATTCTTCATACATCACACAGTTTGAGAAGGAATAATAACAAGGAGAAAACATGAAGATTTTAGTATATATGACATATCACAAAGAGTGAATGCACCTTTGCTCTACTGAAGGCGATTTTGAATCATGTTACCAATAGTCCACAGCTACCGTTTCTTAGCATCCTGAGGGTCTCAACAAGGTAGTCTATAAAAACTCTTCCATACGTAGAGTTGGTTAAAAAAATATCTGTCAACACCCTCATGGGTTGATACCAAGTTTTGACTTGTCCAACTCTAACTCTTTTCCAACCCGGTCTTAGGTCAGCTAGCATAGGTTGTCTGTGAAGGTAGTGGCTTGGCATACACAATATGTGTGCTAGTCATTTTAATCAATGTAGCTTCGCAACCTTATTGATTGACTCACCCTGTTTACGTAACACTCTACGCCTAACCTTTATTTTACTCCTGTACCTACTTCTTAGTTCATGCTCAAAGCTCTTTACACACTACCCAGTAGGAGAATAAGACAAATAACTTTTAGTTCTAGTTAATGGCGAGTGTACAGGTAAAATATGTGTATACTGGTTAGAGTAGAGAGGAAAATGACTATAGTCACATAGCAATTAGACGGTAAAATAATAAGAAGTTGTGAAACCAAGATTAAAATGTACAACTACAGCATAGCATGACATCGATAATACAATTAGCAGTACACATAAAAGTGAAATGAAATAATAAGATCCTTTGATGATATTAGATGGTTGGAGGCAATCGGCAGGAAGCCTTGGACCTAGATTTCGTGCTAGTTGGCACTCATCAGCAAGGCGTATCTGCAACCTTGAAGGAACTCAGACTGATAGAATTCAGTCTGCACCAAAGAGAGGACTAGACACATCACACTAGTTACTAGTGTCAAATCTAAATAATAAGATAATATTTATAGTTATCCGGTGTTGCCTGGGTGAAGGTCAAGGGAGGGAGAGAGGTCGAAGAAACTTTTTACTGAACACAGATTAAATGGGATTTTTTGACAACTACCTCAGCTATGCTTGGCAACTGAAGACGCATCAACCTAAGGAGTTGAGGTGGCACCTTGCACTTCGTATCTACTAGGTGTGCCAGTATGGAAATTCTGATTGACTTTACGACTCCTAAACCTAACCACGTGGGACATTGTTCAAGGAGGTGATAGCGGGCTTGTCGAGTCGTTCTAACTATGTAACTGTCTTCACGTGAGCGGTTATGTTTATCAATGGACATGGAGATGGCCAGACGCGGTAGCTCATCCTTTACTCGCTTTGGAATTTTCCAACGGGTGGCGAGTTTTAGACACTCTCTTGAGGCAAAGAATGTTTTAGCTAGTATTTTTTTGGAGTTTCGATGGCAGTAATTCTGTGGCTGCGTCTCCTTTAAACACCATTTACAGGCATTTCTTTCTCTCTCTTCTGGATATACGCTCTCATATAGAAAGTTTTTTTATATTTTCCTTATTTTATCGTCCAGAGAGTCGGTTGTGCAGATTTTTCTAGCACGAAACATCAGGGTACTGGTGAGATTTCGTTTGTATGCAAGAGGAACAAACAATCTGAAATGGGTGTATTGGTCAACACCAATGACTTATTCCGGGAAATACCCCGCTAAGTACTGTCGTCATGCCTAGTTGTTAGTATGACATTAAGAAATGATAAGGTGTTGTCTTTCTCCTTTTCATATATGAAGTCAATTTGTGAGTGAGCCATATTGAAGGTGTTTTTTGAGTAGGAAATCGGCGTCGATTTAACCGTTTATTATCTTATGCAATGACATGTTCATCCGCAGCAATTTGCCACTCTATTCTGATATGAAATGAATGAACTGGCATATGGAGGAAAGAGAAGCCTACCAAGTTAAAAGACAATGCACAGTAAAGATGTCTTAGATTATTGGTTATACTTATTGTTAGTCGTAAATAATAATAATTTCGAGGTGGTTCTGATGTCAAAGATTATATCTTGAGGTGTCAAGCAGTATTATCATGTGTGTTACCATACATAGGTGCTGATGTAGTTGTGTTCTCTGAACTGGCTGGATGGCTTATATTTGCGAAGTTTTCATCAATGTCCTACTAGGCAACATCTTCCGCGCATACACTTCAATTCGATGAAGTGAGTTTTTAGATTTCTCCACGAGTTTATAAGTCATCCCTCCTGGTAGATGACGTCGTGATTGCTTGTGTTTCTGTGTGTTTTCACACCCTCTAGTCTGCTACTTGTATTGGTATTGGTGCTGATTGTTTCTTTGTCCTGAAGTTGTTGACCTTTTGTGCATGAGATTTCCTTCTTATCGATTGGTAAATTTTGTCAGTGTCGATGTGTCTATTAATTGACGATCCAGTGGAATACCAGACAGGCTTCTAAAAATTCTCTGGCATTCTTGATATCTTTCCCTCTGTCTAATATTTGAACGTTTGTTGTTCCAGTGGAATTGATGTCCGTGGTTGTGTGTATACAGTGAGTGATATAAGGGAGTGGATGTGATGCCTTTTGATGGCTAGTTTATGATCATGGATACGAAGACGAAGAGGAGAGGCATCGACTTTTGCGAATGTAGTGTTTTTCGCAATCGTTGCAACTTATTTTGTAGATGATGTTGGTTTTTATGTTCTTTCTGTGTTTAGTCTTTTGGTTGACACAGGGTTGGCTACCTGGCTGGCTGTCTGAGTGAAGTGATTTTGTTGGTTTGTGTGTGACATTAATTCCTAAATGTTTGAAGAGTTGCAGTGATCTCTGAGATGTTTTCTTTTATAAATGGTAGGTGGCGGGGTGCCTGGCTTTGATTCGGTAGGTAGGTTTGGGGGTAGATATCTTTTGATGAAGTTTCGCGGATATCCATTCTTTTTGAAGACGCCCATTAGATATTCTTTTCTTCAATTTTCCTTAAGGTGGAAGTGCTGCAATGAGTCCTGGCTCTCTTCAATAGTGTTTATATACAATTCCTTTTGTGTGTTATTGGACGGTTGCTGTTGTGACTTAGTATTTGATCTGTTTGAGTTAATTGTGTATAAACTTTTAATTGCTCTTTGGGGTTGTTGGCTTGACTGAGGCGTTGGTAAATGGGATTTCGTTCTCGGATTGCTGTTGTCTTGTGAATTTGATTTTGTTGAAGATGTTTATTAAGTTGAGTGCAACTCGTTTCCCTTTTGATTATTACGAATGTGTCATCTACGTAACGTATCCAGATTTTGGGTTTGCTGTTTGGGTAGGATTATGTTTTCGAGTCTTTGCATCACAGCTTCTGGAATCAAACTTGATATGGGCGGTGCCATTGGTGTTCCTTTAATTTATTCATATATTTTTCCGTTGAATTGGAAGTATGTTGTTAGGCATAGGTTTATGGATTCCAAGCAGCTTGTGTATTGCCACTACAAGTAGCAGCCTAGAGGGTGAGAAAACACACAAAACACAACCAGTCACGAAGACTTTCAAGGTCACACACCAGGAGAGATGACTTATAAACTCGTGGAGAAATCTAAAGGCTCACTTCATCGAATTGAAATGTATGCTCTGAAGATGTTGCCTAGTAGGACATTGATGAAAACTTCTCAAGCATAGACCATCCCCAGCTAGTTCAGAGAACACAACTACATCAAAATCATCCAACCTGAGATACAGATCTTCTTTATCATATCTTTACACTTAGGTTTGTCTGTAAAACTTACAGGATCATTCTACGCCTTCTTTTTATGTGTTTCAATTTGTTTGTATCTGCATTTGATTTAGTGTATTTTTGAGGCTTTTTCAACTTTTATTTTCTAAATTTTTTTCGAAAAATTTAGATGATAAACAAGAAGTTGTTTGGGTTGAAGTTATTAACTGTGAAAATTCCTCTCCCTTACGAATTGCCTATTCAAATGTAAAGTCTATTGGAAGTGGTTCCTTCGGCGTTGTCTATTCCGCCACACTCGGTGATAATCGTGAAGTAGCGATTAAAAAAGTTTTACAAGACAAAAGATATAAAGTTTGTTATCAAAAAGAAAAAAATAATAATAATAATTTTTTTTATTTCATAGAATCGTGAACTACAAATACTTCGATTATTACATCATACTAATATTGTATCATTGTATTATTATTTTTATTCAACCTCGTCATCGGTAAGTTGTTCTTGTGTGTTTGCGTGTGTGTGTGTGTGCGCGTGCGTGCGTGTGTTGAAGTGTGTGTATTTTCCATCGTACCTTTTTATTGATTTATAGAAACCTGGTGAAACTTATTTAAACTTAATACAAGAGTATGTACCGCAAACGCTTAGTCGTCTTATCAGACATTATTGGCGAATTCGACAGTCAATACCCTTGGTATACGTTAAGGTAAGTCAGCAGCAAGTCATTGATGGAGATGATTTATTTTATTCTTATGGGTATTTATTATTATTACTATTATTTACTATTATTGTTCCCTTGCATTCTGAGTATACAAACATAGAGCTTCACCGGTTCTTTGAAGTCTTTTTTAGTCGGCTCTACAAAACTATCCATAGGCTTTCACCTCCTCCTTACACAAGGAGCAGATGCATCTGCGCCATCTGTTGACAACCATTTTGGGCCATATAACCGATAATTGTCTACAGTCTTCATTGGTTTTTACCATCCCGAGCACGCCAACCAAGAAGTCTACACCTCCCTAGTTGACTGGCTTAAATTAACTGTTGTGGATTTCATTGACTGATGAAGTCATGTTTCGGTTTGACCGCTATATGCTAGCTCTTTTCCAACCTGACCGACCTTATGTCAGCTAACATTGACCCGTCATAGAGGGAGGCGACGGCTAGGTGTACTCAACACATGTCCAGACTATCCCAGTCAATTTAGCTTCACAACCTTGTCTATTGATTTCCCCTCCCACCTCTTCCTGGCACTCGACCGATGCTTCATCTCAATATTGCTCACCAAATTATACCACTTCACACTGGAGATAGAACGCAGGCACCAGTGATCAAAGACAGCTAACCGGCCTTTTCATGTCTTCTACTCTCAGTGGCCAGGTCTCACAGCCATAAAGGAGGGCGGAGCGGACTGCTGAGCAGTACACCCGCCCTTTGATCGATAGCCGGATATCACGTCTACGCCAGAGACGACGTAAGCTGGAATATGTGAAACTAGCCCTCTGTATCCGTGCTGAGATTTCGTTATCGATCAACCCGATGGTGTTGGCTGATGCAACTTCCCAGACAAGTGAAGTAAGTGCTCAACACGCTCCAAGCTAGGAGGGAGTCGATGTAGTCCAGTTCAGTCCAGTCCTGTAACCTTATCATCTTACATTTGACAGCAGGAGCAAATCACATACCAATCATTCGAAGATCGCTTCTAATCTCAAGGTGTTCATAAGACATATGTTCTACATAATTTTATTTGCCATCTTTTTTTCTTGATTACAGTTGTACAGTTTTCAACTTCTACGTGGATTAGCCTATATGCATAATCAAGGCATATGTCATCGAGATATTAAACCACAGAATTTGTTAATCAATCCAGATGAAGGTGTACTGAAAATTTGTGATTTTGGAAGGTAAGTTAACTGGCAAAATCTATTCTATGCTGCTGTTCTTCTTCTCCTTATCATTATAGTAAAACCGTAGTCTTCTTTGTCTTTCTCTGTAAAATGGATATTCACATACTTATTTAGGATAAAAGCAATTTAAGGTTATTGATCATTTCATACAAAAATTATTCGATCGCTGATGCGTATAATTTACATCTGTGGTAAAATATTTCAAGTTGATCTTGAATTATTGTTGAAAGCCTCGGGACTGACTGACTGGTTTCAGCAATAGTCCAAGTCACCACACTCCATGTAGCACACAAAGCAAGAGAAGAAAGTAAAAAGAAACGCAAAATACAGACAGTAAACAGGGATATGAGACAAAAGGAATAGTAATATCAAAGAATAATATAGTTTCATTGGGTATTATAAGTCACAAGGAGTGGATGCATCTGCCGCAGCCATTGAAAACGATGAGTTTGAGCCATATCACCGACAATTGTCTCCAGCCTTCAGCGGTTTTTACCGTCTCTAGGACCCCAACCAGGTATCCAGTCTACTCCTCCCTATGTGGCTGGCTTAAACTAACTGTTGTGGATTTCATTGATTGATGAAGTCATGTTTTGGTTTGACCACCATGTGCTAGCTCTTTTCCAACCTGATCCATCCTATCTCAGCTAACATTACCTATCGTCGAGGAAGGTGATGGCAAGGTAGGCAGGCATGCGTGAGTAACACATGTCCTAACCATCTCCCTCAATTGGTGTAACTCCAGAACCTCGTCGATTAATTTCCTCGCCCAACCTACCTAGCACTCGACCGATGCTTCACCTCAATATGGCTTACCTTATTATACCACTTCACACGGGAGATAGGACGGAGATCCCTATAATCAAAGACAGTTAGACAGCCTTTTCATGTCTTCCATTTTCAATGGCTACCATGTCTTACAGCCAGCCATAAGGGAGGACGAAGTGGACTTCTGAGCAATACACACGCCTCAGGATGTATATATATATATATTTGGCAGGTTTCTATGGTCTCAAAAATGTAAAATATTTAGAAAAAGTTTTGCTACCAAAAGTTGTTAATAATGTTGATTTTTTGTGGGCATTAGACAACTACTTCCCATTAAATTTTTTTGAATTGATGTTTTGAACTTTCATCGTTTGTAATGAATAAAGAAAGAAAGCATGAACACATATTTTTTTTTCCTTCACGTTCCCAGTGGAATATAGGGCTTCAAGCTAGAGGCTTGAAGTTTCTGTAGCAGTGTTTTACTTTTACAGGATGAGGTTGCTAGCCTCCTGCCCAACCTTCCCTCTTTACCGGCTTTTTATTACTGGTTTGGCGAGGTAAAGGAGTGCGTCAGTCGGGGATCGAACCCCGGACCATGTGCATGGTCGGCGAGCGTCCTAACCACTGTGCCACCGACGCACACACAACACATATTTGCAGCCACGATTATTCAAGCTTGTTTTATGCCGTGGATTCTCCCTATCTCTCTCTTCAACTGTGCGGTACATCCTAAATAAAATCACATTATAATAGACATTCAGTAAATAGTCTGTTATGCTAAGTAACACATAGAAGCTCTAAGAGAATTTAGAAGTAATGAAAGCTTGATTAATCATTAGCATGCCGGATGAAGGTGATGGTTTGGTTTTACTGGATAAAAGTGATTACTTTTTTCTTTTGAAGAGTTGATTTGTAAGGATTAGATTGGTTTTTACGAGTTTAACCACGGATTGATATCAGTTAGAGAACCATTGAAAACCAGGCGGGAGTAATGGACAGCTGTTTCATCCTAGTTTTTGGGAATCATCAACAGTACGCATCCACCACCAGGGTTCGAAACCAGGACCTTCCGATTACAAGGCATGCTCGCATACCATTCAGCCACTGGGACCCGACTCCTCAATTGCCAGCCTGTGAATTGTAACCTATACCATCTCGTTATTTAGCGCGACTAGCACCAACCAATGTCATCGGTGGAAACTCCATCCTCACACTTGACTGAATAGACCTCACTGGTCCCACCGATGACATTGGTTAGTGGTCGCGCTAAATCACGAATTGGTAGAAGTTAGAATTCATAGGTTGGCCATTGAGGAGTTGGGTCCCAGAAGCTGAATGGTATACGAGCATGCCTTATAACCGGAAGGCCCTGGGTTTGAACCCCGTCGGTGGGTGAGTACTGCCGATGATTCCCCAAAGCTAGGATGAAACAGCTGACTATCCAGTACCTTCTGTTTGGTTTTCAGTGATTCTCTAACTGATATCAGTTCATGGTCAACCTCATAAAAACAAATCTAATCCTTACAAAACAAACTCTTAAAAACAATTTTAGTAGTTTAGTGAGTTCAACTCACTGAGTGAAAATCAAAATCAAAATTAAGTAGAGTGTTATGCAGAAGAACAAAACACAAAAGCTCTTTACTAATTAGCCCCCCCCCAACCTCTCTTGAACTCTTCATCATATAATATGCATAAATTCACTCTATTGTTCTATCTTGTACTTTGTCTCAGAACCATCCTTGTTTTCAAGAGAAATCTGAACTCTGCCGCCTTCCGCCCCCATTCCTTGTCTAATTATGCTATAAATAGTTACTATTTTTACACGGTATAATTTATCAACTTACATCATAATTTTTTGGAATGATGTTATTTATACTTTCTGTTTATAACTGGAAGTCATCGTGGGAGAAAGTGTGTTTACACACCATTTTGCAACTTATAATTTGATTTTGTTTAGGATGTATGACGCAGTTGAAGAGACAGAGAGAGGGGGAGAGAGAGGGAATCGACGAAATGAAACGAGGTCGTATAATCACGTCTGCAAATGTTTGTTCGTTCTTTCTTTATTCAAACTAATAAAATGGAGGAACCGGTTAAATGAAATTCATTTTTTTCCATTTTTATTAAATTTGAAATCTGCATAAGGCATTCAATTAAAAATCACCAGGTGTCACACTTGAAATCCTGCTTCTTGTAGCAGGTTTCTAGGCAAAATATGTGACTAAGAAACAAAGAAATTGTCCACATGTGAGTCTTAAAGACACAGACCACTTTCTGTTGACAGTGGGATTTTGTTATTTTGTAAAAGTAGAGTTCCTAAAGCATTTGCGTCGGTGGCACATCAGTTAGGAGGCACGCTGACCATGCACATGGTCCGGGGTTCGATCACTGGCCGACGCACACCTGATATCAATGGTCGGCCTGTTAAATTTAGGCTACCGATATCACATGCTGAAAATTCCATACTTGTAGAAAAAATACTGTGTGGAATCAAGCTATAGTAAAATAAATAAATGAAAGATAAATAAATAAATAAATAAATAAATGTTGATTGTTTGCACACTAAGAATTCATTGGATACGTCTGACTGGCTGGTTGTGAAGTCCTCGGGATGCTAAGAACCAATGAAGACTGGAGACAATTATCGGTGATATAGCTCAAAATCGTTCTCAATGATGATGCAGATGCATTCACTCCTTGTTATTTTGTTATATCCAATATCCATATTACTTCTGTTTATTATCTCTTGCTTTGTGTGATATATATATGGAGAGTGGCAACTGGTACTTGCTACACTTCTGTGTCGAGTTCTATGTTGAAACCAGTCAGTCAGTCAGCCAATTGCGATCGATGCATGCCCACTGTGTGTAGTAGATTTGAGTTAATCTGAAGAAGTACGTGACCACTATCGAGACTTTTTTATTGCAGTAACTGGTAGCATGTAATGTAATTTTCATGTGATCAGCAATATATATATATATATATATATATAGATTAAGAAAGCTAGCAAGCGTAATGTTCTAGGAGAAAAAAGGCGTGTTAATCGATAAGATTGGTTTAGCCCGCACCACGTGTGGTAGAGGTGTTGGTGTTGGTGGTAGTGGTGAGTAGGAGACATGTGCTACTTTCGCATACACTCATCATCTGATCTAACGTGATTTGTCAACTGTAGTAGAGAATATTTTGCTATCCTTTTATATGCGTATTACTTTTATTGATCACCTAACAGTAGGCTTTTGTGATAAGGGGCTTGTCAATCTAAACATTTATTTATTGAGTTAGTAGTAACTGCAGTCAATGAAAACCTTGAAGAGGAAACATACTTTCGAAAACTTTATAATTAAATCAGTAGTTATTATTATTATTTTTTGTCTATTTGGTTTCTACTATTTATTTGTCATTGGAACACAAACTACTGGATACGTTATGGACACCAAGAGATGTGCTACACAAATTCGTCGCCTCATAGTTTGTACGAGGGCTGCGAAACTACCTGGACGGACGCCCAGATTGAAGCAGGTGGTTGTATTCAGAACCCCCCTCCACCACCGAGTCTTTGACTTGGAGTCTGATCCACAAGCGAGTGGGGTAGCCTCAGGAGTTGAGTTCCTGTGGTCGGTTGATGGTGACTGTAACAGGCTAATGTGCTGTTAGGTCGCTTCTGATTCTTGAGCCCTTGTACACCATGAGTTTGGTATCAGGGTTTTCTAGCTGCCTGAGCTAGGTGTTGGTAGACCTCGATGTCCACCAGTCCAGTTGTCAGCGAAAGACATTCTCATTCTCCGGCTCATTTTTGGGGCGACACTTCTGCCGCCTTAAGTCAGAGAATAGAAATTAACTGTCAGAGGCTATGAAAGCGTGGCCGCATGAAGTTAACCCACCCTTGGCCTTACCAGATCGTTTATGGGATCTAGTCTCTACGATGAATAGACTGGAGACAATAAAAGACACTTCAGCGAGTATAACTTCTTATAGCGAAAACGTCGCCTTTAAAGGTTTTATAGTCATAATTCCACGTAGTAATATTGTAAAGTAGTCTTTAATTGAACAGTAGGAGGGTGTGTGTCCGTAACCCAGAAGTGGTTTCAAAAAATGACAATAAATTGCGTAATAGTCAACCACACAATGGCAGTAAGAGGTTGAAATTTGACAGAGGTGAAAAATCTTACTAGATGAGAAGCCAGGTGGTTGGGTGTCCACTTAACGAATGTAGAGAAGGTGAGAATAAG